TGGTTTTTTTTTAACTTTGAGTAAAAATATCTTGATAACTATCTATCCAAATTTGATAAATTTTTTTTTATTTAAATTCTATGTATTCATAGAATTTAAATAAAAAAAAATTCATTAAATTTAATTAGATAGTTACCAAGATATCTTTGCTTAAAGTTTTAAAAAATTTTAGTATAGCTATTTTAATAGATGTTTTGATTTTTTTTAATTTTGAGTGAAGATATCTTGATGACTATTTGATTAATTTTGATAAATTTTTTTTTATTTGAATTCTATAAATTCATATAATTGAAATAAAAAAAAGTTTATTAAATTTAATTAGGTAGTCATCAAGATATCTTTACTTGAATCTTTAAAAAATTTTATTTTTTGCTAAGAATACAAATACCAAATTTGAGAGATATAAATACTAGCTTTTATATTAAAAATATATATTATATATACTAAATAAAATAATATTTAAAGCTATTTATTATTTAATTTTTATTTTTTTTATATTTAGACAATCTTGCTTTTTATTTATTAAGAAAAAATATATAAAATATTATAACAAAAATATAAGCTAAACTAATATAACTATAAAACTGCACTCTTTATATAATTTAGAACTTATTTAGCTATCTAAAATACCTAGGTATGATTTGCTACAATAGCAAATTTTCTTCTTCAAAGAATAAATTATCTAAACAGAGTTATATTCTAAAAATCTACAGAAAACTACTATATATTTATACTAAGAATATTTAATTGTTTTTAAAACTTAAAGTTTTCTCTATAATTTACTTATTAATTCTATTTTCAGCTTCTCTTTGTATTCTTTTTTCTTTAGCTTTAGTTAATTTTTTGAACTCTTTCTCTAAGAAGTCTTAGTTTTTCTTATTAACTTAATACTTTTTCTACTTAGCTTTGTCTTTATACTTTAGTTTCTTTTTTTTTTTTTAATATTAATATTGTTTCTTTTTTTCTATTCTGATATAACTTTGCAATAAAATTTCTATAGTCTTTCAAAAAAATTTAATTAAAAAATTTTTGTAAACTAGCAAATAGCTTTGTTTATTTTAGTTGCTAACCTTAGGAGGATTTTAGCTTCTACTAATAAACTTAAACTTGTTAGCTTATATATGTGAAGTCTTCTTTTTTAAAACTTAATTTCTAGACTTAAGTTTAAAAAGATCTTATTTAGTTTCTAACTTTTGACTTTGACTTTACATTTAGAAACAAGTAAAGATTCTGCTTTTCTATAATAAAAATTTCTATTTTTTTCTATATTTGTTGATAGTTTAGATATTTTACTATGTATTTAAAAGATTCTACTTCTATATAATATGCAACACAAGTTTTATTTTTATATAGTATAAGATCTTTTTAGTAGCAAATATCTTTGTTAGTAAAAGCTTATAGATATTTTATTCTAAATATTAAAGCTTTGCTTATCTTGATACTTATATATCTTTTTTCTTAGAAATTTTTTAGTATACTCTAAGTATTTTTCTAATTCAACTTATTATTGTATTAGTTTAATAGTCTCTGATCTAATACTAATTTAATACTATTTAAGTCTACTTATATACTTTTATAAACTATTGCTATAATTATATTAACAAAAGATCTAAATATATTATCTATAATTTTGTTTCTCTATAATAAAAAAAATCTAATTTTATTTGTTGTTATTTTTTAGGCTTCAAGTATTAAATCTAATAAGAGGCTTTTTTTTATTAGCTAATCTGTTTTATTGTTCTAAATATTTAAGATATATTCTTTTACTTTGATCAGTTCTAGTTTAATTTTTTTTGTTTTACAACAGTCTATAATTTAGTTAATTATATTATAGTTTTTTGCTTTAAAGTTACTTTTTATATTTGATAAGCTTTTAAAATTTTGAATTCCTTCAATTACTACTTTACTATTTGAGAATATTCTAATAATTATTCTATATAGTACTACTAATAGAGCTACTCAAATTGTATCTAGTTCTGCATAGATTAAAGAAGACTAGTTTGTAATACTACTACTAAAGCTAATACTAGATTTTTTATTACTATTATTTGCTACTACTCTGCTTATACCTATCTTTTTAATCTTTTTATCTTTTATATTTTCTACACTATTTATTGTTTAATAACAGATTTAGTTTCTATTATTATAAAGTAAAAATAATATTTCTAAAAAATATAATAAAACTAATAAAATTATACTTCTAAAAATAGAATTAAATTATTATATATCTAGAAGTCTTAAAAAATTATTAATAAAACAATTAATAAATACTGATTTAAAAATTCTAATAAGTAATTATTAATTGCTTAAGCTCCTATAATAGCAAAATCTTTTTTTTATTATATATAAAAAAGTAAAACTATTTTACAATATTAGAAGTTGATAATAACTCTTATATATAAAATAGAAATATATAAGATTAATTTAATTATTAAATTCTATTTCTTAAGTTACTAATTTATACTTCTAACAAAAAGCTTAAAAAAAATATATAAATTATTTGTAATAATTAGTAAATACTTGCAATTTATCTTGTAATATTTGGTAATAACTTATTGAATTACTTATAACAATTAGTAGTAACTACTAATTGCTTTGTAACATTTAGTAATGATTATGAAATCAAACTTCTTAATAATATTTATCTAAATATTATTCTTCAAAAATACATATAATATAAATTCTAATTTATTTTGGTTAATACTTTACTAAAACCTTTAAAATAAATCTTTGTTTGTTTTAGATATAAGAAATAGAAATCTTTTAGATTCTAGAAAAAAACAAAAAAAAAGTTAAAAAAAAAAACATATTAGTACAAGATGAATATAGAAAAAAAGATATAAAAACAAAATAATATATTAATCAGATAAGATAGTGCTTATTAGTGTAATAATGCAGATTTGTCAGATAAGATAGCATTGTAATAACAATATAGATTCATTAGATGAGACAGTATTGAGGTAATAAATCAGCAGTGATTTGCTAGATGAGACAGTGTTGTATCAATATTGCTTTGTTAAAAAAAATAATTATCACTTTGATTATCTGAATTGTACTTGATACATGCTGTTTATATGAACACTTGGAGTTAAAAGACTATAAAGAAAAGAAAATAACTTATGAAGTTATTCCTAGTAATAAGAAATTTTTGGTTCTAAAATGAGAAAGATATATCATGAATTTTAAGAATACTAACAATTTTATATTTGTGTAATGTTAGAAAAGAATGTACTTGTAACAATAGCAAATGTGCACATTGTAATGAAAATAATACTCAACCAGCGAGGTGTCTGACATGTGATCCCGATGTCACAGCACGAGGATGAACAAATAGAAACAAAAATATTGATTGTATTAGAGAATTTCAATTTAGAGCCAAGAAATACAAAGATACAATTGAATAGATTCTATTTGATAGATTATCCGATGTTAACGAAATTAGCAAAGGTGGATTTGACTCTATATATTCTACAACTTGATTGAATGGCATACGAAAAATCGATAAAAAAGAGCACGTGAACTAACTAGCATCGTTGCGCTCAAGACCTTGGCCGATAATAAGAAAATAATTTTGATTTCTTGAAAGAATTTAAAAGTCATATGACGTGCAAATTCAATTTTAGCAAACTTGCAATTTATAGAATACAAAAACAAACGAATATTTGATGGTGTTCCACTAAGCTAACAAAGGAATTCTTCATAAATATTTAAGAAGTAATTTTAGAGAACTTGCTTGGCAGGATAAATTGCAATTACTTCGAGATATTTACTACGAATTATTTTTGATTCACGACGATGCAGGATACATTCATGCTGACTTTTACAGTAATAATATTTTGCATGACCGACGCAATAATGAGAATGCACAATCATATATCGCAGATCTGGGGATTGTCCAGAAAGAATGATGATGAAAATGCTTCAGAAGATGATATTTATGGTGTTATGCCCTACGACACTCCGGAAAATAACCGAAGAAGCGAGAAGCGAACACACTAAAAACCATAATTATAATCCCAATATAAAATAGGCGTGGGAGAATGTCACGGGGTAAAAGTGACATTTCCAAAAAACGTGACGTAGCTAATGAAACTGCGCCTCCAGAAACAGGATTAGGTCGTCATAGGCTTAGAAGGCTTAGGGGATCGTTGATGGAACAATCGATAGATGCCGATCCAAGAATTCTGAGAAGCGACGATCAATTGCCCAAGCATCTACGATAGCAAACCCCTCCCTCCGTTGCATATAAGAAATTAAAACTATTTAAAGGACGTTACAACACTAGAGGTTGGTAACGACTCTTAGGTGCGAGGTAGGGGCACATAAGGTTGATCATAATTATTGAATTCCACTTCCCAAGTCACCAACGTCACGCCTCTGGCGAGGAGCTTAAAGAAAGTATACGAATTACCCGTAACAATTGGTGGACACTTACAATTTACCCCGTAACATTTGGTGGTAACTTACCGAATTACTCGTAACTATTGGCGGTGACTACTAATTGCCCAGTAACATTATCTACTATAGTTGAGTATACATTATTGGGCAAAAATTTCAAATGAACACGTGTCGCAAAGCGGTACGTGTAGCCAATCATTTGTAAAATTACCGTTATTCAAAAATTTGCCCAATAATCATGTTATCCGGCAATTTATGATCATGATTGGTAGGGAGTTGTCTGCTGAGTTTTAATTTGAATAAACATGATTACATAATAAAACATGAAATAAATTTATGAGTTTGCCGGATAAATATAATTTATTTGATTGAGAATTAATTTGAAAAAATTAATACTTCGCTAGTTATAATATTTTGTGCTATAGTTAATAATGAGATTACCATTAATATCTATTGTGCAGTACCATAATTTATAAGATTGCCTATATTAATTATTAAAATACATATTTATGAGACACAAATGAAGATCCAGGAATATACAACCCAATGCTAAACTTAAATATACACCCATTTTCACATATTATTATTGTATGTTAAAATCTTCAAATAGCAATACTACAAGAATTCTTTAATGCCTAATTAATACAATACTATAAAAAAGATTAATTCATATTAATTTGTGAATCTAAGCTTTTCAATAATCCAACTTCTTAAACACAATTATATTAATACGTACTTTTGAGTTATATGTCGAACTACAATAATAGCTATAACATCCATTAGAAATAGTCCAACAAAGGTACTATTTTTTTCATAATCAAAAAATTATATTAAATAAATATAATCACGGATATCTAGCAAAGAGCTTGAAATAAATATATATATCACCTTAGTACTAGAACAGCTTGGTACACTCGATGAACATCCGTTAGAACTGCTAGAACCGGTATAAGAATTACCATTTGTATAAGAATTACCATTTGTGGAACTATAATAAGAGTAATTAGACTTGACGATTACGACAGGTATCGCTATAAAATAAGGTATTGTTTATGGCAATTAATCATTTATACTATCACAAACTTTATAAGCTTAATCATATATATAAATATTATTTACTTACTGATATACCAAGAAAAATAAAACAAAATTGCAAAAATAAACCAAAACTTCCAAGTAGGCTTGCCATTATGGAATAAAGGCATCCCCATAATTTGTTCTAAACTTGTGAGACCAGACAGTCCCCTTTCTACTGGTGGAATACTATGATCAACTTCCCCCGGCTTTTTTTCAACCATTGAATAAATTACTTGAGGTTGAGGTTGAGGATCTGTAAATATGAACATAGTTTGCCCACTATTTTCCTGTCCGTAACTTGGAGGTGGTGATATAGATTTATTGGTATAATCAATTGAATTAATCGGAGTTGAATTGATCGGAGTTGAATTGATTGGTTGCGAATTAATTGGAATTGAATTGATTGGTTGCGAATTAATTGGAATTGAATTGATTGGTTGCGAATTAATTGGAATTGAATTGAATGGTTGCGAATTAATTGGCATTGAATTTTCTTGAAATTCTTGGTAAGCGTATGGTGCTAAAGGAGGATGGACATGCGTTTCCTGCATTTCACTAGTAGCAGGCCTGCTATCATTAACGTTCATTGGAATAGGTGTATTTTCTTGAAATTTTTGGTAAGCATATGGTGATAAAGGAGGATTTACATGCATTTCAGGCCTGCTATCACTAACGTTCATTGGAGTAGGTGTAATTTCCTGTTGTTGAATTGTCATACTCGCTTGATATTCATCTTGTTGAGGAATTGCAGAAATCATTTGAGGTTCATATTGTTGAGTTAGAACCATATTCATTCGAGGCTCGTTTTGTTGAATAAAAGTCGCACTCCTTTGAGATTCATGTTGAGGAACAAACGTATTCGCTTGAAAATCAGGTGGCTGAGGAGCGGTCATTATTACTTGAGGCTGCTGTGGAGTTGGCGTATTCCTTTGAAAATCTTGTTGATAATTTCCTCCTGACATTTTTCTTGAAAAACGAAACTTGTGTTTGAATAACTGTAAATTTATACGTACTTGTAAGGGGTCAGTAATGTAACGCAATTTAGCGAAATAGCCATAATTATCCAAAACGTGCTTTAATTACAGTCTTAAAATCGTAAAGAGTCGTAGCACTGACGGTTACGTATGTACGTATCGGCATATGTTATTTGTTAAATTTACTTTTTTATAATTCATCAATTAATATCAGTTACACATGTAAAATTTTTTAGTAAAATGTACCCTAAAAACTAAATTTTGGGGATGGCTAAAAGCGTTGTACCCACGTGACTTTTGCCATTTAATTAACGGAAAGTCTACGGACGCAAAAGTTTCATTTTTGATAGATCTACAATATGAGGGTTTTGCAGTTAAAAAGGCCGAAACTACCCCAGAAATAAAAATCGAGTTTTTACTAAATACAAATAAAATTCAGTATTTGGTACATTTTTCAATTATAAATGAAACCTGATTTACTTAATAAAAAGTCGAGATCTAAAAAATTGAAATCGTCGAAGGCAAGGTAAATCACGGGATTATCCGATATATTTAACCAATCAAAATCGTGGTATTTTGTTAACCCGGATCAGTCCGAACAAAACAATAAATTTTCGAAGTTTGGGCCCTTTTAACTGCAAAGCCCTCATATATTGATACACTTTTAGTAAAATATTTTTGAACTTTGAGCGAATATATCTCAATAACTACTTGACCAAATTCGATGAATTTTTTTTTGTTTTAATTCTACAAATATATAGAATTCAAACAAAAAAAAATTTATCGATTTTGGTCAAGCGGTTATTGAGATTTTTTCGCTCAAAGTTTTATAAAAAATTTTACACAAATTGATATTTTGAATTTGTTTACTAACTTTGAGTGAAGATATTTTTATTTTATTTTATTTATTTTTTTTTTCTACTTGAGCGATCTTGCCTTTTCCTTTATTCAGAGATAATTTATCAGAAGATAACATACAGAATACAATTACATCTCAACATAACTATATACTGCTCTACAGATTTTGGATTGGACTAATTTGACTGTGTCAAGCATACCCAAGTTCGATCTGCCACAGAAGCTATTTATCTCCTAAAAGTAGTTTACTGTCAGAACAGTTTATCCTAACTTCTGATTAATAATTGGTGATTTTCAGCTACTATCAAGATCTTAGGTCTTTTTTAATCTAATCTAAGACTAAACTAAAAGTTGTTAATACCTAGTCTCAAGATAGAAAAAAAATAAAAAATTATTACAAATAATGAAAAGCATAGAGTTACATGTTATAAGAATGAAAACATAGTAAGAAAAAACTCGCTAATGAGTAAAAAATCTTACTAAGTAAAAATATAAGGTAGAGAAAAACAAAACAAAATAAAAGAAAAAGAAAAAATGATAATCAGAATTTTTATTTTTGACATAAAAAGAAAAAAGGAAAATAAAAACCCAAAGTAGTTCCATCTAAAAGCAGGCCTAAAAGCATGTCTAAAAGCAAGTACTACCTGTAAAAATTATATATACTAGTTGCTACCTATGTATATATCTCTATAGTTAACAATTTCTAATATATCTATTTCGTACTAATCCAACTAAACAAGGCCTTTACAAGTATTCTGCAATGTGTCTCGTCAACAATAGTTAATTACAGAACACGTGCTGTATGTATTTATGAGTTGTTGTTGTTTGGTAGTGATCAACGTGACTTTCTTAAAATAAACATAGTACAGATATCGATCTTTTGGTAAAGGTAAGCCAAATCTCTACTTTTTGTTATTGAGAAACAAAAGGAAACAATTCCAAGTCCAAAAGTCTAGTTGTTGTAAATAAAGGAAGCAGTTCTTCAAAAAAACAAAACTAAGAAAGTAGTTATATGCTTGATCTAGTACAAGCATAGTTGGAGTTCTTCTTAAACTTCTTCTTTTCACTATCAATACCTTTCTACTAAACTAACTTAAAGTCGCCTCGCCAAAGTCAGATGGCCAAAGGGCCTAGTGCAACCTTAAAACTAACTTGTTGCAGTTCTTGCTTCTGGTTTATTGCAGCTTTGTGGTTTATTCCTCATGTAGTCAGTCACTTTAAATAGTTTTACTAGGTAGTAGCACAAGAAAAAATAAATTTTTGTTATTTTGTTTTTTGGTTTTGATGATTGTCAGAAAGAGTTTTTTGGTAAAGATATTTTTATTTGAATTCTATATATTTGGAAAATTAAAACAAAAAAATCATTAAATTTGGTTGAGTAGTTATTAAGATATTTTCACTTAAAGTTTTAAAAAAAATTTTGCACATCTATTTTAATAAATATTTTAATTTGTTTACTAATTTTGAGTGAAAATATCTTAACAATCACTTGATCAAAATTAATGAAATTTTTTTTTATTTGAATTTCATATAACTATAGAATTAAACAAAAAAAAATCATCAAATTTAGTCAAGTAGTTATTGATATATATTTATTCAAATTTCAAAAATATTTTACTAAAAGTGTATTAAAAACATAATTATATTTTGAGTACATTATAGATTTTTCAAAAATGTAACTACAGATTTATCAAAAATAAAACTTTTTCTCTACAGATACATACAGATTATATGACTTATACATACTAGTATATATAATTTTTCTAAACTTTGAGCAAATATATTTTAAAAACTATTTAATTAAAATTAATAAAAAAATTTTACTTAAATTTTATTAAAATGTAAAATTCAAATAAAAAATTTTTTATTGAATATGGTTAAGTAGTTATCAAAATATCTTTGTTTAAAGTTTTTAAAAAACTCAGAAATTATGCTAAATTTTTTTTTTGACATTAAGGTGAGTACTTAGCTCAACTTTCGTTTATTAAGAATTACATTATTCATTACAACTAATATACATATTATAATTTCAAACTAATTCTATATATTCTTATTTAAGCTTAGGACATACAGTACTACTACATACTATCTATTCTCATACAAAACCTACTAGAGTAGTCTATAGCCTACACTATATATTACCTAGATTCCTATAAGTACTTTATCTCTTGTAAGACCACTGTTTCTATATTCACTGTATCTCTCATACTCCTTATAAATAACTCCCAAATTGGTAACTAGATGAGGCATTCGTAACCTCATAGCTACTCCTAATTTGGTGCAGTTTGGGTTGCCATGACATTGGTATTCTAAGATACGGATTTGCCTAAACGTAATGTCAGAGATAAGTTGTATGTATACCAATTTCTGTTTATAGATACTTCTGTGTATTGGTGGGGTCCAGGATATGTTTTGCAACATAAGTTGCTTCTAGCTATAGATTTCGTAATACAGATATACTACTACTACATAATTGGTATTCTAAAGGACTGGTGTACTTTTGTTTTTTGTATTACTACTACTAGCTCAGTATATCATGCCGTTTTGAGTTTTTACAAGTATACTCTGAATTTTGGTCTACTCTCTAAATTACAGTACTTACTCAATTAGGAAGCTTATAGTTACCCTTATCGATATTCATACGAATCCAGTTCCTGCTGTAGCCCTCTACCAGATATAGTCCTCCAAAATTATACTAAATTTAAATAAAAATAACTCAACAAATACTTAATAAAATTTAATAAAGATTTTATTTAAATTATATTCTTATAAAAAATTAAAATAAAAAAAATTTTTATTAAATTTTATTAGATAGTTATCAAGATAACTTTGTTAAAGTTTAAAAAAAACTTAAAATATTTATCAAAATAAAAAATATACCAAATTGTTATCTTATTTTTAAATTAAGATCGCTCAGTAACTATTTAATAAAATTTAATAAAAAATTTTTTATTAAAATTTTATAGTTATAAAGAATTAAAATAAAAAAATTTTAAGGTCTAGTAATCTAGTATAGTAGTTAGATTGTTGAACTACTATATAATAGGTCTAGAGTTTAAATCTATTGTTAATAAATTTGAATAATTTTTTAGACTTTGTAATATATTATAGTAAATCTGTTCATTTCTAGAACATATTCCTGTAAATTAAGTTATATTAAATCGATCAAAATTTAGAAGTATAATATAATATTATATAAATAAATCTTGATAAAATATATAAATAAAGGATCTGTATAGTAGAAATCCTAAGTTAGTAAAGTAATATAGCCTTCTAACAGAACTATATTAGCTAAAGTTTGATCTAAGAAGAAAACTTAGTTTAATAAAAGTAGAAGATTTTGAGATCTCTAGACAAAGGGTAACTAAGACTAGCTGAATATTGAAAAAGGACTAGGTTAACTAATCAGTAAAAGACTATAGTAAAACCTAAAGTTGTATAAATATTTACAAGTATCTAAACTAAATAAATCTATAAAATAAGTATAGACTACTCTAGTAGGTTTGCTTTAAGATTAACTAGCTTTGCTATATCAACAATACATTTAATATAATATATCTTAAGAAAATCTAAGCTATTTTAAATAAATAAATCTATAATAAGCAAGTTAGTTTAAGTGGTTAGATATTGTAATGAAATTAGATTAAATTTATTTTTTTTTTTTTTTTGTTATTAAGGTGGCTTACATTGCCGAAGGAATTTTATTAGAATTGTATATAGGATATACATTAATAGTCTCTATTGTTTGTAATTACATGAAGAGTATACAACAAGCCACATGTACAACTTTAGTCATTGTCTAATTTAAGTAGTCTGCTGCACAGGTGATTAGACTACCCGATTGGTTCTACACTATGCTGCTATACCTGTAACCCATCTATGAGTTACCTATTTAAACACTCTGTTCATTAACCCATACAGATCCAACCTAATATTACTACAACATCTAACTGCTTAAGCCAGCTAGCTTGTTACAGATCCATTTATTCAGAACAGCTTAGGTCCTCTCAGAATACACTGTATCTAATGCATTGTAGATACCGCAGAGCTAGTTAACCTCAAAGCATACCTACTAGAGTGGTCTGTACTCATTTTACAGATTCATCTAGCTTAGACCCTTGTAAATGTTT